GTCTGAACGAGTCCTGGTGCAGGGGCCGCCCTCTCTGCCTGCTTATTTTCTCTTGGTTCCATTCCAATGTAATTTTGTGATGTGTTTAATTAGATTCATTATTCCTTAATTTTTTTTGTTATAAGAATATTGCCCGATAATAACTTTCACCTTCAAATGCCTCGAAATATATCTTTAGTTTGAATCACGCTAGCAAGAATTTATCCCATTAAGTGTTTTCTGTGAAAGATTTTTCAGTAATTTTACCAGAAATTCATTCTGAGTGACGGAGAAATTTGATGATTTTAGCACAGAGGTGAACAAGAGTAGATGCCATAATATTTTTCATCATGACTCTCCTATAGCTGTCTGACCTGAACTTTTTCCTGTCTGGTAACTAGATGTAAATGCTGCAGGCAAAACAGGAGCAAGAAAAAAAGAGACTCCGTGAACAGATGAAAGCTGAAGCAGCGGTCCAACGACAACAAATCAGTGGAGAACATGGTAAAGGCGAGAATGATGGAGGTTGAAAAACACAGACGAAATTTCATGCAAGAAAACCAGGTACTCAGCCAACGACTTGCACAAATGCAAAAATCAAATGAAGGCATGGAGAAGACAGTGGAGAGCTTGAGACAACAGCTGCTACTCAATCAGAGCCGACAACGGCAAGTTCAAAAGCCGGGATTCTTTGATAGAGCGCTGCAAATGGTACCAGTCTTGGGCGGGGTCGCTAGCACCTTATCAAAGTGTAGCGTTATGTAAAGCCTCTAAAGTTATCCCTTATCATGAACACTGGTTCAATTTTTAAGTAGTGGTATTATATCAGCTTCCAGTTAATTATAATTTGCAATGAGTTAACAACCTTAAAGTTATGTAACACGTTTCCTGCCATTGGATATGATGTTGATTTTATATATGAAGTGAAAATTATGTTGTCCGTGATACCAATTGGGCTGCAAAACAACTTGAATGTAATCCAAAATAAAATAATTTGAAAAAAGAAACCAATCGGGTCTTCTGATTATTTAATAGCTAGCGCAAAGAAAATCCCCTTTACGAGGAGTTAAGCCCGAAACCTAACAAACCATCGTAGGCTCTGTGTACGACAAATTTGATAAAGGTTGACATATCAAGTTTGTTTTAGTGTGCTCTAGCGGAAGAGAAGTGGGGAAGGAAGGGGCAAACGACGAAAAAGGAGACTGCTTGCGATGATTTCGGCCTTTTTCCACCTTTTGAGTTTTTCTCGTCGTCCGGTTTAACACTTGGTAGAATAAAATTACAGCAGCAAAAAGGAGAGGATGCTTAGATGCCTAGCTTTTAATGCCTGCTGATCGAGTGAAACAGCGTAGAATAACTCAAGGAACGACGGGCGGCTTGTGGAAATAAACAAGTGGTTATAGGAAAAAAAAACAAACAAACATACAAACAAAAAATCAAAAACAATATTAAAAACGGTCGGTCGGTGGGGCACGAAAGCCGTTATTGTTACACAAGTCAGGCCGACAGATTCTGCGATAAATTACCAAAAAAGAAAAAAAAAGCAAATCAAAACCATGAAAATTTACCAGTTTTTCCTCTCATCCAGGGGCTGCCTATATCGAACTAAAGACTAAATACTAGTCTTTTTAATACAAAGTCTGCGCAAAAATATCATTCTGTGCGTGGTGCTGCGTTCAGCTGTGAAAGAACTATTTAAATGACTGTGCCTTGGGGTCCAGACAACAAAGATAGAAGTCGTATACAAGGTCTTTTTCAACCACTCATGCCATCTGTACTTTCTATGACTACAAAGAGACAAAGATATTTCATAAAAATCCTTTTGATAAATCAACAAAAGTGCGGGAAAAAATAGTGACAACGTTGGGTAAAAATTGACGTACTATATCGCTATTTACAATGACAAGCGAGACGAACAAGCATTTAAGCTTGTAACAACAATTATCGACTTAAACTTTTCTGATCATGAAAGATTTTCCATACATCTCCAGTTTCAAGCATCATCAATGTAAAGCATCAAAAAATAAGCCTACTTGAAAGCACAACGCTGCCTGTGAACTGATCCAAGCTCAAGGAATCATTCATCCGTTCCTTTTCTTAAAGTCGGCTTTTTTTGCAAGGACAAAATGAGCTTGTCAGCTAATTAGAATCAATAGTATTAATTGAATTAATAAGTTTGAATTAATTGAGTTTAGTAATTTGAATTAATTAACTTGAAAAAATTGAGCTTGTCTTCTGCCGGGGTCTCAGTTGCTGGAAAAGATCGAATTATTGGAAGAGTGAAAATTGGAGTTTGGGAAGGAAAGGAAGCTCCTCTCACTCTTCCCGAGACCTCCAATGTCTCAGCTCTCCCCTTTTTTGGCCGTCTCCATAAAAGGAGAGACTGGTACATAAAAATAGAGGGACCTCTCTTTCTTCGCGTCAAAAAGTCACTTTTGGGATCTATGCTAAACTATTTCACTCTGATATCCTAAGAAATTCGTTTAGCGTTCTGATCGGCAAAAAAACTGAGTAACAACTCGGTACTTTATTGCTGAAAAGAACTTGCATTTCCAGTTACAATGTAAGACGTTTCACGCGGGACTAAAAATTAGGGAACTTCAGGAAACCACGACAACGGCAACGAGGATGTGGCAAAACAAAACATCTAAATAATGAGCAGAACAGTCGCTCAGCGCGTGCGTTTTAAAACTCTGTTCATCTCTCAGCCGTCCACTGTAAAACAACAACGTGAAATCACGAAAATTTGCGTGATCTGTGATCAGAAGGGAAATAATGTCGGCAAATTATCTAAGTTTCCAATTCGAACTGGACGCCACTCCTATACTTTATGCTGACATAAAGATATAACACCGTAAGAGACGGGAAACACGTCCAGCAATTTCCGAAATTCTAAATAAACAATAGTCTTTATTTGGCGCAAATATATGCACGATGGTTTTTGTTTTTTTTGCTGTTCGGACATTATCTGTTCCGAGATGCGAAAAGTTTCTGAGTGAAGCTCGAGGAAAAGTGAGAGCTTAGAGCAACAGATAATGTCTAAGGACAAATATACGAGAATATTTTTGCGCCAAATAGAGGCTATTGTGTTCATCCTTCTTCAATTATTTTTGCAACGCGCGGGGAAAGTGTTTACGAACAGTTCAACGTTCATTACGTAGGATGTTCACTTTTCAGTGTTCGCTGGTACAACTGAATGAACACAAAACATGTCCTTCCTTCTGTAACAATCACAAAACGCTCTCTAATCTTGAATTAAATTGGAAACGAAGACTTCTATTGTTGTGGACGTCAAGGTTTGAAAATCGGGGAATGTCACTTGGAGTGTATTCACGGATATTCTCTAGTTTTAGCTGGTTTATATTCGGTCACGTGACGCATTTAGACCAATCCCGCGCGCAAGCAAAAATATTTGATGGATTATATTCTGAAATATCAATCTTCTTACTGCTCGCTAAATCAGTTGCCACAGAAACCTTTTTTCAGAGCGCTTACTCATTTTCATCATCATCATCATCATCATCATCGAGATCGTCACTATCTTCATCATTGCCATCTTCATCGAGATGCTCACTGTCTTCATCTTCGTCATCGTCATGGTCATCATCCTCAATTTCGTCATCATCATCGCCGTCGTCGTCGTCGTCGTCGTCGTCGTCGTCGTCGTCGTCATCATCATCATCATCTGGCTCTTTTCTGAACCTTGTTCCTTTTTTTTTCAGCTCAGCTTTTGTAAGAAGTCGATGGATATCCCCTTCATCTCTTATTTCATTTTTCTATCACAGGACAAAAAAAAGGACACAACATCAACCACAGCACCAATTATGTGAAACTCTCAACTGGCATTTTCACACCAGATAAATATCTAAAGGATCTTGATTCTCCCCACGTATATCGGAATATTACGTTCCTTCGCTATGGCAAAATACACCTGTTTCATTAATTTCTATGTAGCACTCAACTTACATTTTAACACACAAGATAAATATTTCACGCAATCAAAGATATTTGTCCTTATAGCGAGCAGTGAAAGAGGACATTCACTTTTGAATTCAAATAGCTACAAGTGACTAAAACCATTTTACAACAAGGAAAACGATCTCAGTTACAAATAACAAAAAACAATGCTCCCTGACGATTAAGATGAGGTGAAGGTTGACAAACAAACACATAAATTACAATAAATACTAACTTTTTTAGATGGAGGAAAACTGTCTAATATCTTCGAAATTATTTTATTTTCCACACACAAAGTATTAGCTAAGCTATTGTCTGCCCGAGAGTAAATCAACGATTTAACAATTTTCCAACCCTACAGGACTACACGCAATGGGTTTTACTCCAGTTCACCTCTCCACCAACATAATTTTTGCACGATTGAAAGACAGACAACCCTAAATATTTCTTTTTGATGACCCGGAGTCCTCGATGTAATGTTTTCCTTGACTTTCCCAAAAGTAAAGAAATATATGCACGATGGTGTTTGTTTTTGTTGCTGTTCGGACATTATCTGTTCCGAGATGCGAACAGTTTCCGAGAGTGAAGCTGGAGGAAAAGTGAGAGCTTAGAGCAACCGATGATGCCTAAGGACAACTATACGAGAATTTTTTTGCGCAAAATAAAGGCTATTGTGTTTTTCTTTCTTCAATTACTTTTGCAACGCGCGGGGAAAGTGTTAACGAACAGTTCACCGTTTATTACGTAGGATGCTCGCTGGTACAGCTGTATGAACACAAAACATGTGCTTTCTTCTGTAAGAACACCAAACGCTCTCTAATCTTGAATTAAATTTGGAACGAAGACTTCTATTGTTGTGGACGTTAAGGTTTGAAAATTGGGGAATATTACTTAGGGTATATTCACAGATATTCTCCAGTTTTAGCTGATGTATATTCGGTCACGTGACGTATTGAGATCAATCCCGCGCGCAAGCAAAAATATTTGATAGATTATATTCTGAAATATCAATCTTCTCACTTCTCGCTAAATCAGTTGCCACAGAAACGTTTTTTTCTGAGCGCTTACTCATTTTCATCATCATCATCATCATCGAGATCGTCACTAACTTCATCGTCGCCATCATCCTCATCATCATCATCGAGATGCTCACTATCTTCATCTTCGTCATCATCATCATCGTCATCGTCATCATCCTCACTTTCGTCATCATCATCATCATCACCATCATTATCATCGTCATCGTCATCGTCATCGTCATCATCATCATCTGGCTCTTTTCTGAACCTTATTCTTCTTTCTTTCAACTCAGCTTTTGTAAGAAGTCGTTTGATAACCCTTAAACCATCTATTTCATTTTTCTATCAAAGGACAAAAAAAGGACTCAACATCAACCACAGCACCAATTATGTGAAACTCTCAACTAGCATTTTCACACCAGATAAATATCTAAAGGATCTTGATTCTCCCCACGTATATCGGAATATTACGTTTCCTTCGCTATGGCAAAATACACCTGTTTCATTAATTACTATGTAACACTCAACTTACATTTTAACACACAAGATAAATATTTCTCGCGATCAAAGATATTTGTCCTTATAGCGAGCAGTGAAAGAGGACATTCACTTTTGAATTCAAATAGCTATAAGTGACTAAGACCATTTTACAACAAAGAAAACGATCTCAGTTACAAATAACAAAAAACAATGCTCCTGACGATTAAGATGAGGTGAAGGTTTAAAAACAAACACATAAATTATAATAAATACTAACTTTTTTGGGGGGAGGAAAACTGTCTAATATCTTCGAAATTATTTATTTTCCACACACAAAGTATTAGCTAAGTTATTGTCTGCCCGAGAGTAAATCAACGATTTAACAATTTTCCAACCTTGCACGACTACACGCAACGGGTTTTACTCCAGTTCACCTCTCAACCAACATAATTGTTACACGATTGAAAGACAGACAACCCTAAATATTTCTTTTTGATGACCCGGAGTCCTCGATGTAATGTTTTCCTTGACTTTCCCAAAAGTAAAGAACTCTCCTCTCAATGTAACCATACTTTTCTGACAAAACCATTTGAATCATATACGAGACACTTAAAAAAGAATCCAACTGATAAATAAGAATAAGGAAACCATTTAAGAGCGAGTAAATTATAGCGCAGTGCCGAGTTTGACTAGTAGCCGCGTGTCACGGGTCCCGCCTATGAAGTTTAAGCTTTTAAAATGATTTCTTTTGATTTTTCGTTTGTTTTCTAGCAGGGCGCTTACGCCTGACGCACAGTAATGCTTCATTCTTCAAGCGCTAATTTCACAGGTTCCATAACATAACGTCTTTCCTAGATTTTTCAGCTGAATGAGATGTTAATGGAAACTTCGCCTCCAAAAGGCTTCTTCTCACGACTAGTGCAAGCGCTTTATTTTGTTTAGGACGTGGTAATATTGGTCTTATTTTGGATACAGAATGGGAACATCGAGCCGAAGCGCTTATCAGAGGTGACCCATGTGAAACACTTTCTTGATTTTTTTCCTCCTTTCCCCACCCCCCTCCCCCTCCAAAGAAAAATATATCTATATATATCTATATATATATATATATTTATCCATTGTATTTTGTGCCCGCCTGTCTTCTTTTCCAATTCCTTCTCGCTATTATCTCTTTTTGCCTTATTACCAACCCCGGAGTACTTTGCTCTTTATTCTATGTTATATTTTCGTTTAACACACCAAAAAGGTTTTAGAGTGTAAGGTTTGAAATAGTCATTTTAACAAATTCGCTATTTACAATGTTTTTCTTTAATTTTTCTTAAAAGAAAAAAAAAATAGGCTTCTATGACAAAGGCGACCGAGGGCCCTACGAGCATCTGATGGATTTACTCAACATGGGCAGTGCAGCTAAAGACAAAAAGAATCCAACTGATAAATAAGAAGAATGAAACCATTTAAGTGCAAGTAAATTATAGCACCGTGTCAGTTTCTTTTTGGATGTTAATATTTTAACCTACAACTTTTGGTGAATTATTTCCTATCATCAGTACAAACCTTTAAAACGTAAATTTATGACAATAGAACCAACATGACTTTCACTTTTCAAAACACGCATTTGGATTTAACACAAGAAAAAACCTTTTTGTTTGGTTCTTTCTATTTTCTTGGGTTAACGCTTCCTGTTAATAAAAGCGAATAGATACTGGTACAGATTGTAGGGAACAACGTCATCAAATCCAAAGCATATATGGGTTCACAGTAATTTCAGGTCACATAATCAAACCCAAATAAAAGCATCCCATGATAACAACACAAGCCAAAAAATTTCAAAAATGAACATTGCGCAAAGAAGTTTGGTCCCAGAAAAATTCTCACAATTCATCTTTTTTTCTCTCTCTTATGTAAGGCATAGCTTCAAAAGATTTCTCTACAAGATTTCGCCAAAACCGAAGGGCTAATCGAATGAACTCGAAGGAATCGAACTCCCAAAGTTTTCAATGAAGTTTCAGTAATCAAGCATCCACTATACTGGAAACTACTGTCTGTAAATAAATAATATCAAAGTTTTCAAAGCTAAATTTGTTTCTGTCTTAATTTAATCTTAAACATATTTTTCTGGAAACCATAGTCAAAGAAGCAATACATGAACCATTAAAGTACTTAACATGGGCTGTTTACGGTCTCCGCCATCCCCAACAATGGCTCCTGTTGTCACAACATAGAAATAGTAAATGTCGAAAACAGTGACTGTTCCTAATGTCTACATTCTGTCCCATGCAGACTACTCCAATAAATTGTCTCCAAAGCAACTTGCTGGAAACAATAACGAGTGTAATCTGAAGAGAACCAAAATAAAAATTAGATACGACTAAGTGAAACAAGAACGAGACACTTACATGGTAATCGCTATCCAATGAAATTTCTCTTCCATTTAAGGCTGAAAACAGCATTTTAACCTCTGTCTTTGTCATCGGAACACCATCCAGATACAGGAGCATCAGTTTAGGAACGCTGCTGAGGTGCTGGACCAGGTCCCTGACTCCTCTGCCAAGTGGATTGAACCCTAATCTAAGAGATCTCAGCTCTGGTACATCCTTCAGTGCACGAGCCAGTGCTGATGCTTCATCTTCACCCATATTTGTGTTCCCCAGGTCCAGTGAGGTCAGAGTAGGTACACTGTTCAGGTTCTTGGCCAGTTCAATAATCCCGTGACCCAGTACATTGTCTGACATATCCAGTTCTTTTAACTTCTTTAAGTACTGTAATGAGGCAGCCAGTGCAGCACATTCCTTTTCTCCCATTTGTACATCCCGTAACTCTAATTCAGTCAACTTTGTCATTTGAACACCATCCAGGCACGGGGATAGGTCCTCCTTCGGCTTAGGAACACTGCAGAGATGCTGGACCAGGTCCATGACTCCTCTGCCAAGTGGATTGGACCCTAGACTAAGAATGATCAGCTCTGGTACATCCTTTAGTGCACAAGCCAGTGCTGATGCTTCATCTTCACCTATATTTGTATCCGATAGTTTCAGCCAAGTCAGATTGGGTACACTGTTCAGGTTCTTGGCCAGTTCAATAATCCCGTGACCCAATGCATTTTCTGATATAGACAGTATTTTTAACTTGTTTAAGTACTGTAGTGAGGAAGCCAGTGCAGCACATTCCTTTTCTCCCATTTGTACTTCAACTAACTCTAACGCAGTCAACTGTGGCACGTGATGAAGATTCTCAGCCAAATGACTCACACCGCTGTGTAAGGGGTTCCTTGACAAGTAGAGCTCATGCAAGTTTGGAGAGTGGTGCAGTGACTCAGCAATAAAAGCAGCACACTTTCCTGTTAGATTGAAATTGTGAAGAATTAATTTGTGGAGATTGTCAGTAAAATTAATTCCGTAAATCGCGCTCTCAATCGAAATACCTTCCAAGGCATATGTCTTGATCCTCCCTATTTCAATATCTCGAGGAGCTGTTAATAAAGGCAACAAGTTCTTCAACAGAACAAAATCCTCAACTGTTCTCAAGAATAAAAAAACGTCTTTCACCAGTGACACACAATGTTGTTGTGTCTGGTCAGATCTGTTCTCAGTCAAAGAAAGCGCAATGTTGTTGTCTTCATTCTTTCCCAGATTATCCACAGGTGGCTGAGAAGGACAAACCGGCGCTGAGATCAATTCAGAAATCAGTTTAGAGTGAAGTACAGCATCTGTTATGCGACGAAGATAGATAAAGTTTCTCTTTTCGCTTTTTTTGAGGAAAAAGTCTGCATCGCGTAAATCGGCGTATTTTTTTACATCTTCAATTTCTCCAGAGCACGTTAAAACGACCGCGTTCAAGTCAAACGATATGGATAGAAGATCATCATAATAAGTGTTCCGACCAAAGTAAAATAAATAGTTCGGAAAGCTGGTGGTGTCTTTGAAGAAGTGCGTTTTGGCAGCAGTAGACGAGTGTTCCTCATCAAGTATTACAACATGGTTAACACATGAGAGAAATGCAGAATACACAGCTAGTCTGTCTGAGGCCGGACAACAGAACAAACAATCGACACAGAATAGAATAAACCACTTTTGTGCATGAGACAAATCTTCGACAGAAGGCGTCCGAGTAAAATTGTAATTTGTGAGACCTTCTTTCTCTCCGACATAACGTAGATGATCAAAAACAATGCCAGCAGCTTCTGATGACAACTCACAAACGAATTTTAGAACTTCAGCCATCTTCCTTGATTTTTTAAACGTATCCATTCCTGACAAGCAGGTGACGGTTTCATTCTTCTTAACCTTCGCTTCTTGAACGATGAACCAAGCGGCAAGAAACTCCTGAACGGACTTGTGAAGAAAAGACACGATCTTCTCACGGTTCAAAGCAGAAAGTTTGGAAACTTGGAAAAAACCGACATGAATAAGCTTCTCGAAGAGATCACTAGGCGGAAATTTACTGAAGTTAAAATGAAGGCAGTCCTCCAAAAGAGCATCGAATGCAAGTTTTCCTATTTTGGAAAGTTCCTCTTGATATTCATCTATGCTTTTATCTGTGGCGACGTTGTCTGAGTCTTTAATAGCCATATGATCCAAGAGAGTCTGAATAAATTCTACGTAAATTTCGCCACGAGACGTTGGTAATTGAGGTTTTTTCTTTTTCCACAGAAGACACAACATCAACAATAATAGTGGAATCTCTGCCATCTCCACGAGGTCATGCTTTCTTAGGTATTCAAGTAGCCCTTCAACATCTTCCTCATCAGAAAGAATCTTACTTGCAAACTGTTTCTTCTGTTCCCAGCTATCGAACCCGTTAAGTTCAAACTGAGCGTGACTTGGCACTCTAAGCTCATCCTCTTTCACTGGCCGCGTTGTGATCATTACACAACAGTCTCTCAGTTGACTGCCTCTCCAAATTTGGTGAATTAGGGATGATTTTCCACCGCTGTACTCATCATATCCATCCAAAATGAGCAGCACTTTCTCCTGGTTCTGACGGACATATTCACACAAGTTATTGACTGCCATCGGGTCATCAGCAGACAACAGTTCCGCTGTTTTTAACATGGTACAGAGGTCCGAAATACCACAAACGTCTCGTAACCTGATTAACAGTAAAAGATTGAACTTTTCGAAGATCTTCGTTCTGCCATTTGCCCAATCCACAGCTACTTTTTGAGTGAAAGTAGACTTTCCTATTCCAGGTCTTCCATACACCAGAATTCGTCTACGGATGGGATGATCTTCGTCACCTTCAAATACTTCACTGCTGTCTCCCAGCTTTTTTTTCGTTGTCCCGTCAGGTTTCCTGTGGTCTTGTAAAAACGTTACTTGTATGTAAATGCTATTAATGTGTACCGTGTTGTCTGGGTCCCATGGTGTTATTTTCACTTGACACATGGTGTTGTAAAACGCCCTCAACTGATTCCGGCACCATTCCCAAAATTCTGTTACAGACGAGTCTGTAGACAAAAAACAAGTAGCTTGGTAAAAATTCTCTTTCTCCCACATCGAAAAGAAAATCACTCGAGAAGGGTTTTTGAACAATAAGGAGAATAATTCTTTCCATGTGTAATTTGTAAATTTGACGACGTCACTCTTTAATTCCGAAGGTAAATATTCACATTTTCACTATCTGATCACTACAGTGTTTTTTTTTTTTTTTTTTTTTTTTTGGGAAGCGGAGGTTGAGGGGTTTGATTTGCCCTAATTCACGAGTACAGTCTTCGATCGTCCCGTGAAGGAGAGAAGCGTGGGCTCATTTCACGAACAGCGGCTGGTAATCGAGGCTATTGTTTGCTCCGCTACACAAAAATCTTAAAAAAAATATATTGATTTGTTCTGTGACAAGTGAAATTATTATTAAGACAAACATTAGGGAAAACCTCAAATATTGTAGTAACTATGAGTTTCTAAAGCTTAAATTCGAACATTAGCCCCTCGTTGGACCGATTGGGTTATGTGTGGTTTATAAAATGGGGGTTTGGCTAAAAGGAGGGGAGGGGTAAGGCGGGAGATTCTAGGTGTCTTATGAGTATGTTGCAGCTGAGCCTTTCCTCTCTTTCCAGTGTAATAACCTTTTGAAGATTTTTTTAGACTATTCCCTATTTTCATTGTCAAACGCCTTTAATCTTGCTTCCACAATTTCGAATGCTATTTTTATCTCTCGTTTGTAATCGAGCGAAAAGCTCTAAAAATTTCGCAACTATTCATGCCACTTTGCTGGATCCACGCAATTATATTTTATAGAGGCAGGGGGAAGGATGATGGGGTTGGGGGGTGGGGATTAACGGGCACGCCCATAGATATGTCCTCATTTTACCTCTTTTCTTTGGGGTTGAGGCGTCATTCAGAGACGACTCTTCATCACGGCGTTTCACCTTTGGCCGAGGCAAATGTTTAGTAGAATCACCTGCATGATAACAAATGTAAAAAAATAATTAGAACACAACATATTATTTGAGCCAACTGATGGGCAATGGAACAACTGATAAGTGGCAATGGAACTTATTCCTTCCCTAATGAAACGTTTTTGGTGAATTTGGCCAATTGGTGCCACTGCATTATGCATCCCAACTGTGCATCATTTAGCACGAAAAATGCACATCCACATACGCGAACAGAAGATGTCTTGTTTTCTTTTTTTCCAACCAGTAAGAAAAATTGCCATCGCCAAGTAAACGGATTTGGTGACAAACCATTTATATCTCCAGTTTGCAATCGAGCGAAAAGCTCTTAAAAAATATTTTCCATACAATAAGCAGCTTGGGTAAAGCCACTCTAAATCTCCGTCACTGGGAACCCCTTGCTTGACTACAAACATTAAGACATCACAGCAAAGCATCAAGATGAGACGATAGCGAGTAGTACGTAATGCATCTATTCATACCATTTTGCCGGATCCACGCATTTTTATTTTACAAAGGCAGGGCGAAGGAAGATGGGGTTGGGGGTGGGGGTTGACTGGCACAGAGTCGTTAAATGGGAAGTTTGCAACGGTATTTCCTGTAACTTTGCATTCTTGTGGGTGGGCAAGTTGCTTACCAGCAAACTGATATTGACTTAGGTATTCATCGAAAAATTTATCTGAAGAAACAAAACTCACCATTTCGTTTCTTACGATCAATGGATACCAAAGCCAAAAAAGCAGGAGGAAATACTGGCAACCCAACGCTTACGGTTGGCAGTTAAGAAGTGAGTGAATTTTGCGCTACCAGAAAACTACATGAAAATATACAAACGCATCAAATGATCTTCCTTCTCTTTGATTTGGTCACCGACAAATGAATCGACTCTTTTCCAGTTTCGAGGCACTGTCAACAACGAACACAAGATACAGAGGCCAAAAAGCATGGTGTCTACGAATTTAGGCACTATGCTTGTATGTAATTATATTTTAATTGAATTGCAAGATTGGTGATATATTACCAGTGATAAGTTGCTCAGCTAAATCTCTGCGATTAACCAATGGATGACACAATGCATCATGTAGGACCGTGTATGTTGCGGCTGAGCCATCCCTCTCTCTCCAATGTAATAACATTTTGTAGATTTTTTCAGACCATTCCTTATTTTCATTGTCAAACGCCGTTAACCTTGCCTCCTCAATTTTAAGACGACGCCCGACTCTCTTCCATTCATTGAGTTTCTGCGAAAGCCACTCTAAATCTTCGTCACTGGGAACTTGCTTGACTACAAAAATAAAGACATTACAACAAAGCATCAAGATGAGGGAATAGCGAGTTGTACGCATCGCAACTATTCATACCATTTTGCTGGATCCACGCATTTTTATTTTACAAAGGCAGGGGGAAAGAAGATTGGGTTGGGGGGTGGGGGCTAACAGGCACGCCCATAGATATGTCCTCATTTTACCTCTTTCCTTTGGAGTTGAGGCGTCACTCGGAGAGGACTCTTCATGACACCGTTTCATCTTTGGCCGAGGAAAATACTTAGTAGAACCACCTGCATGATAACAAATGCAAAAAAATAATTAGACAAGAAAATATTATTTGAGCCGACAGATTTATTGTAGGAATGGAGCTTTTTCCTTTTCCAATAAAACGTCTTCTGATGAATTTGTTTCGAGGCAAATTCATGCCATTGCATTATGCAACGCTACTGTGCATCATTTGACACAAAAAAATCCACACCCACATACGAGAACAGAGGATTTCTTGTTCTTTTTTTGCAGCTAATAAAAAAAAACTGTCATCGCCACGTAAACGGATTTGGTGACATACCATTTATATCTCTACTTTGCAATCGAGCGAAAAGCTTTAAAAATATATTTTCCATACAATAAGCAGCTTGGGTAAAGCCACTCTAAATTTTTGAGAGAACTCCTTGCTTGACAACAACAATAAAGACATCACAGCAAAGCATCAAGATGAGGGGATAGCGAGTTGTACGTATTGCAACTATTCATGCCATTTTGCTGGATCCACACATTTTTATTTTACAAAGACAGGGAGCGGGAAGATATACCCTCACTTTATCTGCCAAAAAAGTTTTTCCTTTCTTCGGAGTTAAGGCGTCATTCGGAGATGACTCTTCCTTACGGCGTTTCAACTCTGGCCGAGGCAAATGTTTAGTAGAACCACCTGCATGATAACAAATGTAGAAAAAAAATCATTAGACCAGATGTTTTGAGCCAACAGATTTATTGTAGCAATGGAGCTATTTCCTTTCCTCATGAAACTTCTCCTGAGGAATTTGTTTCGAGGCCAATTCGTGCCATTGCATTACGTGTCCCTACTGTGCATCATTTGATACGAAATATGCATGCCCAAATACGCGAACGGAAGATTTCTTGTCCTTTTTTTTTCTGCCAGGAAGAAAAATTGTCATCACCACGTAAACGGATTTGGTGACCTACCATTAATATATATTGTCTGCAGTAGAGCGAGAAGCTTGAAAAAATTATTTTCCATACAATTAGCAACTTAGGGAAAAAAAAAAAGAGAGACATTCACTAGCAATGAAAACTTGCAGGGACAATTGAAGCACATGCACACTTGAATTGCATTCTTAACAAATGTTAAAAAAAACTAATTGGGACAGATTTTTTCGCTCAATAGATAGGCTTGTACACAGCCTTGACGATTTGCCTTTTCCGCTTCACTGAAATCATGAGTCATAGTAACTGAAATATACAAAATCAGTCACAATGGGTGCTAAAGCCAAAATACAAATTTAGATATGTGTTTGTATATGACATTGTATCAAATAAATGTAAAATCCCTGGCAGATATGAATAATCACATCTGGTGGCAAACATCAAAGAAAACTGGACACATCTCCAGTTTGTACAACTAAGCTTATACTGTACTCAGATCAAAACTTATGATAAAGAGTATCCACCTAAAGTCTTGTTTCAAGCCCCATGCACAGAAGTTGCATAAAATTGATTTTTTTTTTTGAACATCCTTTTTGTAAAGGCAGCCAGTTAACATGTATTAAACACTTTTTGAAACATGTTCTCATCAAAGCACTACGTGATAACTTTTTAATGTGTTTGGTTGGTTGATTCAAGTTAAAATGATTTTATTTGTCAGGAAGGTGTTACATGTAAAGTTTTAGAGTACTTTGGAATGTTGGCCTGTTCACTTTATATTAAGCCTAGTCATGCCAACACTAATTTATTTACCATGAGTGACAAAAGAAACAGAATAGTGTGCAGCACAATTCCAGCATGTGTGTCGCACACTGTGGTCTCTAACCAACAAAGGAGACAACCATTTCTACAGCCCAAGCACATGATGGTCTTTAATAAGCCCCTGATCCTAAATTACTTTTAATCTAGGTGAAAAGTAAACAGTATAGTGTGTTTAGAACTATCCCACAGCCTATGCATATGCTAGTCTTTAATCAGCTGGTCATTACACCTGCTCCAATCAATCGGAAAGGTAATCTGGTGGAGGATTGGACCCTGTTGAAAGAGAGAACTTGAAAAAAAGCTTAACAAATGATCCTCAGAACAATGTTGTGGGAAAGGAAACCTACCAAAAAGCTAATATTTACCAGTTGCTGATCACACAGAACCCAACAGTTTCCATTTTTGAGCACTGCCTAATTAATAATGTCAACCATGAAGATAGAAACATTGACATCAAAAACAGACAACAAAAATTGGCATCTGGTTGCTTAATGTGTATCAAACAATGAACTGATCTTCTGCATATTGGTAACAGGAATAAAGAGCTGTGAAGTCAGAAAGTGAATCAAAGCATTAACACTTGATGAGGCAACTGATAGAACCAGAGCTGGAAATTATACACCATTGAGCTGAAGGACATAGACTTAGGGAATTGTAGAAACACCCTTAAGTACAGTCCAGAATGGAAAAAGAAATCTGACACAATGCAAAAGGTACCAATGCTGAGACTGTGGAAATCCCATGAAACAATGCACATCAACTTCCTGCCTCTGGAAAAAATGTAGCAAGTGTCGCAAAAAAGATTATTTGTTACTGCAATATGCACATCCCTCTCAGTAATGGAGGAGATAAGATCACAAGTGAAATTTTTAACAAGGAGCTGTGTCAAAGAAATCTGCCAGGACTTTCAATCAAGTTAACCACTCCAAATCAGATGATGAGCTATATATATCCCATATACTCAGGAGCAGACAGTGATCATACCAAACACCTGGTGGACCCTCAGCTAAGGGAAGGTGAGAGCTGTGAGTGGCCAGCAAAACTATGCAAACAGATAGAAGATGGAAGATTATAAAAAGCATTAAAAACAGATCAAGCCTGGAGAACATCCGAGCTATCTTAAAACCCACCAGTAAACTTTGCTCCATGCATGTATGTTTAAGTTTTAGTGTGAAATTTACATCACTTAATGGGTTCAAAATTGTGAAAAATCAGCCATAAATTGCTCTGAAATAAAAGAATGAAGTTCTGTTTACTAGTAGTAAGGCTAGTATTATAGCTTTTTTTTAGTGGCTTGGTAATACAAAAGAGTGCTACAAAAACAGCTACAGCTGTACCTCAATCAAGTCAGCAGGAAATTGAAATGGTTTACTTGAGCATAATATTATCGATCATGATATATTAAAGTTAATAAAACACCTACATTGTTCATTTGTTGTGATTGTTGAGAATGATTAGCATTGAAATTCAGTTTAAATCTGAACCATTTCATCATCAACAATGAGTAGGTATAAATTTTGACCTAGGGATTAATCCTCATGTTCCTCATCACTTATTTCTTCTTTGCCCTGTGGCAATTCCAGAAATCTTTGTGCGAACACAACTATCTGATTACTGGCAACTCTTTCATTGGCCACCTCAAAATAAGTGGAACAAAATCCAAGTACATGTAAGCTTAGTTTTGTTTTGACTCTGTAAATTGTCTGTGATGTACTTATATTCCTGAACATTCTTACCTTACTATGCTGTGTCATGCTAATTCTTGTTTACATATAAAATTGAATATGATGTTATCACACAAAAAGTTGCAAATGTTAACCATCATACTGGTGTACAATGTATCCTTACACATGTACATGCACTGTGTAATGAAGCTCAAATCAAGTAGTTGTGGTTATCAGTTGATGCACTCTGTTGCAGACTTAACTGAAGCTCTATTGCCAGCAGAAGGTCTATTTATTATCATCAGTATCATCATCATCATCATTATTATTATTATTATTATTATCATTATTATTATTATCATTATTATTATTATTATTATTATTATTATCATTATTATTATTTTTATCTTTATTTTTTTATACATAAATTTATATCTAAATCTCAATTATACATACAAGATAAACACTCACTTTTCAAGTTGCTTCTCCTGTGAGATGGTAGCAGTAGTTGAATTAAACTCTCAGGTACTTGCTGTTGCTGGATTGAATCAACAATACCATCCACCAGATAAACCACTGACCTAGTAGATTGTGTGGCAGGTTGCATTCACAACAAGCTACTGGGAAGTGATTAATCTGGTGGACAGAAAAAAAATTCAACCAGCTGCTGGAAAAATAGCTGTTCTGTGCCAAAATCACTGTAAGTTCTGGCTGTTCAGTCAGTCAAGAATCAGAACACCTGCAGCTGTTGGAATGGAACTTAATCCCAATTCAAAATATTCTGGAACTCAGCTGCAAGGAAGTAAAACACATATGGATCAATTATCATTATTTCTACGATAAACTGAATTGTACACTGTCAATGCTACTGAAACTGACTGTTTATTACTAGAATGTTAATTTTAGTAATGCTAGCAGGTATCTATTTAAGGTTTTCTCAGTATTCTTCATGTAAACCAGCACTCAGAAATGCAGAAATGAATCCATAATGTACTGCTTCAACTTCTAACACTGGTTTTCAGTTAGGTGTCAAGGTCTTTGAAACTTTTTCTCTTGCAATTGAAGAGAAAATTTTTTAGGAAGCATTGAGTCTTACATTGTATCAACCAAATAATTTGCTTCAAATGGTGACTGAATTCAATTGTTTAATTGACACTTGGCGCCCATATAAAAAAGTTAATTCTAGACCCTGATTTAACCCTTTACACCCTAACATCAGTATGCATATTCTCCATACTGTTCTCTTTACAATCCCTGATTTCCTAACAAGGGGAATTTGTTTAACAATCAAGAGGTTTTTCAATTTATTATCACTTCCTTTATTCTCATGACCTTAATGTTGGATTCAGGGATGATACTGAAAGGAGAAATTAGATGCTAGTCACTCTTAGGGATTAAAGGGTTAACACTGAAATACAAAAAGAAGCAAGAGAGCATTTCAAAGTGGCTCAGATTAGTAACAAGAAGCTTCTATGCACTGGAAATAATACTGATCTTTACTAAACTCTGAAAACTTTCAAGTCCACATATAAAATCAAAATCATTTAAGCAGTAAATTAAAATAAAATAAACACTATACAGAGGTAAGAGACTGATAGACGTGATCAAATA